GGGGGGGGGAGAGGGGAAGAGAGAGAGAGAGAACATTAATGATGAGAGAGAATCATCGAAGGGCTGCCTCCTGCATGCCCCACCCGGATGGAGCCTGCAACCTGGGCATGTGCCCTGACTGGGAATCGAACTCTGACCTCCTAGTTTATAGGTCGATGCTCAACCACTGAGCCACGCTGGCCAGGCAAAGGAAAATCTTTATGACAGGTAAAGTTGGCAGGTGAAGGGATTGTTTCCCAAGATAATGAAATTCCCCTTGGTAAGAGGAGATGAGACTAAGTAAAGGGTTACACTTGAGAATTGAGAGGAACCTTTCAACAAGATGAATAGACACTGGTCTTCTCTTCTGCCTTTGTAGATTTGCTGCTATTCATGCTGAGGCTCCTGAGTTCGTTGAGATGAGTGTTGAGCAGGAAATTTTGGTTACTGGTATCAAGGTTGTGGATCTCCTGGCTCCCTATGCCAAGGGTGGCAAAATTGGTATGTTAATGGTGGGTACATATTTTCCAAACAGTGTGGGGAGAGAAAAACCCTACCATGTTATGAGTGGGTACTGAGGATCTACCCCTTGCTGATGAATAGCTTCTGACTTTCGTTCTTCTGAGTTTGCTGAAGCCAGATGCCATTTCTGAGAGGGAAAAAGATGGAAAGAATTTTTTTTAAAAATTTGCTTCTTTAGGAACATAGAACTCTTAACTATGCTTTTTTCTCAACCTCTCCCAGGGCTCTTTGGTGGTGCAGGAGTTGGCAAGACTGTACTGATCATGGAGTTAATCAACAACGTTGCCAAAGCCCATGGTGGTTATTCTGTGTTTGCTGGTGTTGGTGAGAGAACACGAGAGGGCAATGACTTATACCATGAAATGATTGAGTCTGGTGTTATCAACTTAAAAGATGCTACCTCCAAGGTGAGCACTGAACTGATTAATGTTCACATAGTAGGTGTGCTAGAAAATTACTGCAGTTGACTGCATTGCTAGCTGAAGCCATGGTTTTTGTTTTCATTTCAGTGTCCCAGGACCTACAAAGGAAATTCCTGTCAGTGTTTCCCCCCCGATTTGTAATACACTGGTGCACATTTGATTACTTTTCCAGACTTTTTATGGTAGATAGACCCATCGTTTGAAAGCTAATTTTGGGGAGAGTTTATTTCCTTCCTACTACCTCAGTAATTTTCAGACTTACCTCAGTGATACAAGAAATTATCTTTTGTGTTTTGAACTGCAGCTCTAAAAGGAAACAAAACTTGTGGATAAAAACATTAACACCTTCTGAGAAGGGAGTTTTTTTGTAGTTTAACTGATTTGGGGACCTTGGGATATATGGCTTCCATACTCCTCTGTGGGATTTTCTTTTTGCTAGGGGAGAGTGCTAACAATCCCCCACTACCACTAATTATGCAGTCGAGTTTCCTACATTTGGATAAGTCTGCCTTTGGAGCCTGCATAAATGACCCCTGAGCTCCACATTCAAGTTTTCTGATTGTGTATGATTATTGCAGGTAGCACTGGTGTACGGTCAAATGAATGAACCACCTGGTGCTCGTGCCCGGGTAGCTCTGACTGGACTGACTGTGGCTGAATACTTCAGAGACCAAGAAGGTCAGGATGTACTGCTGTTCATCGATAACATCTTTCGCTTCACCCAGGCTGGCTCAGAGGTAAGAGAGAAAGCTTCAGAAGACCTAGTTCATTTAAGTTTTCTATGGAATGATGCAAATGAGGCTAAAGATACAGATATCTAAGACCTTTTGTTCTTAGTTCTTTTTTTTTTTTTTTTAGGTGTCTGCTTTATTGGGCAGAATCCCTTCTGCTGTAGGCTACCAGCCTACCCTGGCTACTGATATGGGTACCATGCAGGAAAGAATCACCACTACCAAGAAGGGATCTATCACTTCTGTACAGGTAAGAACAATTAGGTAAATGAAGGTCTAATTTGTATAAAGGCATGTACAGAGAAGCATCAAACTTAGTTACTTACAGCTCAAGAGGCTTTTAACTGGGTTCATGTGCTCTGAAATTAAGGGTAAAATTCTGTATGTTCATGTCAAAAATGCTAAAAGGTTAAACATTCATCTAACATAGTTGAATAAATGTAGATCACAAAGTAGTGGTTTCCAGCCTGAGGGGGAGTCGAACTACATGGAAATTGAGCAGTAAATGTGTTGCATTAATGTACTACAAATTTTTAAATGTTTATATATGGTGTTTATAGTAAAATTATAAAACTGTTTAAGTTGTGTAGTAACTTTCATGATTCATTTTTCTAGTGAACTGTGGTTCAAGGTTTTTTTGCTTTAATTCAGAAAGTGGGTATGACTATAATAGAGTTAAAATGTAGGATGAAAAACAGAAGGAATGGCCCAGCCGGTGTGCTCAGTAGTTGGACATCGACCCATGAACCAAGTGGTCGCTGGTTTGATTCCCGGTCAGGGCACATGCCGGGGTTGCAGGCTCCATCCACAGTATGGGGTGTGCAGGACGCAGTCAATTGATATCTCTCCCATTGATGTGTTTATATCTCAGTCCCTCTCCCTTCCTCTCTCTCAAAAATCAATACAAACATTTTTTTTAAAGGAATGACAATAGAAATTCTTTCATTACAGCTTACAGGGACCAGATAATCTGTAAACTCAGCCGCTATTAGGGTGGTAAGAAGGTTCTTTTGAGGTGGACTCTTAAATGCTAAGATGGAGTGAGAATGAGGACAGGTTAGGAAAGGGGATGGCTTAAGTAGAATTAATTAGCTTTGGCTTCTGTTGTTCCTCATGGCTTTTCGACTCACTTTAGGCTATCTATGTGCCTGCTGATGACTTGACTGACCCTGCCCCTGCCACTACCTTTGCCCATTTGGATGCTACCACAGTGTTGTCCCGTGCTATTGCTGAACTGGGCATCTACCCAGCTGTGGATCCTCTAGACTCCACCTCTCGCATCATGGATCCCAACATTGTTGGCAATGAGCATTATGATGTTGCCCGTGGGGTGCAAAAGATCCTACAGGTGAGTATTATTCCAGGTGAGATTAGTGTCCATAAAATCATACAGAGGGAATTAAGGGACTGTATTAGGATCAGATCTTCCCTGGTGACTTCTATGCTTTGCTTTAGAGCAAGGAAAAATGAGACAGGCAGTTTCTAGTGCATGTTAATGGGGTCTCTTGGTTTTCCAGGTACTTGGTCTTTGGAATCCAATTTTATCTAACAGTACTACACTAGGAGTAGAAAGAACGAGACACTGATCTTAGCTGAGGGCCCTCTCTTACCACTATGATACGTAACTTTTCTTCCACTAACTCATTTCACTTATAAAGTGAGGTAAAGTGCTAAAATGCTTTGTACAAAGCTCAGTGTGAGTGTAAGGTGATATTAACCCTTAGGTTTTTGTCCAAATTAAAGGAATGTGACTACTTATCCTGGGCTATCTTGTTTTTTTCATAGGACTACAAATCCCTCCAGGATATCATTGCCATTCTGGGTATGGATGAACTTTCTGAGGAAGACAAGTTGACTGTGTCCCGTGCACGGAAAATACAGCGTTTCTTGTCTCAGCCATTCCAGGTTGCTGAGGTCTTTACAGGTCATATGGGGAAGTTGGTACCCCTGAAGGAGACCATCAAAGGATTCCAACAGATTTTGGCAGGTGAGATTTCAAGTATAAACCTGCACACAAGTGGCAGAGAAACGGAAATCTCTTGAATGCTTGCTGTGTTATGTTCCGATTGCAGCAGCCATCAAACAATGTATAAATATATCGCACCTAATTACATAATTTAAAAAAATAAAACACAAGGTATTTCCCATTAATTTTCTTTGGAAATACTATATTCTGAGAGTGAGACATGTATTACTTTTCTTATCAGCCAACACTGAGTGCATTCAGTGTTAGCTACTCTTCTAAGTGAATTACAAGATCCTATGAGGAAGGCATTATCTTGTTTTACAAATTAGGGGACTTATAACATAGAAAGGTTTTAAATAACCCGTCCCAATATTGCAGCCAACGTATAGAGCAAGAATTTGAACCCAGAATATGTGGCTCCAGATCATTTGTTCTTAATCCATACTGTATTATGTCCTGTAAATTGGATTTGTGAGGGAAGCTTGCTAAGAACAGATTTCTAGATGAATTCATCACATTCTGACTGGTAGCCTCAAGTGGTGATGTATATGCACACTCACACTGCAGAAAGTTTATATCCCTCCACTTCTCACCAGTTGGGGTGTTTTGTTTTTGTGTGTTTTTCCATACAGGTGAATATGACCATCTCCCAGAACAGGCCTTCTATATGGTGGGACCCATTGAAGAAGCTGTGGCAAAAGCTGTTAAGCTGGCCGAAGAGCATTCTTGAGAGGATCCCAGTACTCTTCCTCCGAGCTGTCTCTCTCCTTGACCCTAATCCCAAAATTTCAGTTTTCTCTGTTAAGGCACATGAGAGCCTTGATTGAAGACATTGTGTTCTGTCTGAAGAGTAAGGTTTCCAATAAAATGTACATCTCTCCGAATCTGTTTTTCTTGGTTCTAACAACACAGCCAACACTGAAGTTAATTTTGTTTTGTTTTTTTAAGTTGAGCAGCTTTTTTTTTTTAAATTGATTTTTTACAGAGAGGAAGGGAGAGGATAGAGAGTTAGAAACATGGATGAGAGAGAAACATGGATCAGCTGCCTCCTGCACACCCCCTACTGGGGATGTGCCCACAACCAAGGTACATACCCTTGACCGGAATCGAGCAGGCTGACGCTCTATCCACTGAGCCACACTGGTTAGGGCAACACTGAAGTTTTTAACAGTAATTTTAGAATTGCCACACAAAACCTCACAAAGTAGGCCATATATTTAAAATGGGTCCCCCCCCCCAAAAAAACACCAGTCTTGGATTGATGGACAACTGTGGGTCTTGTTAGAAGTGCACATTGGGAAAGGGGGTTGGGTTTAGAAACTGCTGTTTTAAAAAAAAGGCAAGGGTTAATCAATGTATGCATTTAATTTTTAGGAAATGGTGGTGCATGTTCCAAAGGGTTAATACTGATCTGTGTAAAAATTGACTCAAAAGGGCTTTCTCTACTATACCTAGACCATTTTTTCCCCAGAAAGTGTTCTGCTTCGTGATTTATATTTTGGGCAAGCTTTGACTTGTATGTGATTGAGGCAATGCAGGGTATAAAATGCCATGAGGCCTATCCGTAGCTCTGCAAAGACCCCTTACTAAAGTTGAGGAAAGTGTTACAGGAGAATAGCAGTTTCCAGGGTTCCTAGGCTTGGGCTTCTGAACTGTAATGGAATTAGATAATTTCCCACTGAAAGGTTCAGGGTTAGAAGAACTCAAAAGTACAGGCATTTCAGTTTGAAACAGGTGCCTATTACAGTGCAAGGTCGGACTTGGTGCCCCTGAAGTTTTCTGGCCTGGACCCATCTACTTCCCTCTGGCGGCAGGACTGGAGACTGCAAGAACTGATCTCACCATTTTGAAACACTTGAAGGCCATTTGCTGAGATGTGGTTCTTAGCTAATGACTGTTTACAAACCAGAGCTTTAGTCCTGAGGAGGAGTCTCCATCTATAAGCTCCACCCCTGAGGCTTATAAGTTGGCCAGAAGAAGGGCGGGGACAAACTTCCCAATTCAGAGGCCCTTGGGGGCTGAAGGTTGGGGAGGGGCTTTGGGAGAGGCGCCAGGGGTGGGGTAGGGTCCTCCAAGTTTACTCCCATCTGTCTTATGACGTCCTTGGCACCACTCTCTTGTGTGTCATGTTTTGGACGGAAGGTGGAGCCCCTGAGCCACCTGTGCCCAGTAGTTTGTTTCCAGAAAAACCTGGATTTGGGGAAATGCTGAGTTACGGAGGTGGGGACACTAGGTCCGTGCTCTGGAGTGGGTAAGGAGCTGGTTCAGAAGGCCCAAGGGTCTGGGTAAGCCCTTTCTGTTTTGCTTTCCCATGTTACCCAGATGCAGACCTGGGAACTGTGATTCTAAAGGTCATTTGTATCCCTCTATCCCCGCCCCTCAGACGTTCACGTTTCTCAGCATTCATCGAGAACCTTCTCCCTCTTACTAGATGCAACTGTTTCCTCCCCCCTCTACCACTCTCTTTTCCTACCAAGGCCCTGGAGAGTCAACACAGATCTAACCTCCCTCCATATTTCTCCTGGTTCTGCCCTGTCCTCGCCTCCTCCTCCCTCTCCACCCAGAGAAAGCCCCGCCCTTCCCTCCTCCCTCTCCACCCCAGTCTGTCACACAGGGACATCACCCTACAGCAGTTCAGGCTGTGGTTTGCAGGAAGCATACATTGGCTTTTCGATTCGTGCTAGTTCCCAGCTCAGTTTGGGAGGATCGCCAGCCTTCACGTGAAGGGGGAATCAAGGACGGCGAGGAGCTTGGTGGTCCCAGCCCTGGAGCCCGGCCTGACATGGGTAAGTTTGAGGACCAGCCCCCCCGGGAAGGCCCGAGGGATGCCTGCCTCCCTCCCTGGCTGACTCAGCAGGGGTGGGGCCTAACCTTTGCTCTTTTAGGGGGTGAAGGAGGAGAAAAGGGACTATAGGGGCACAGGGCTCAGCCGGTGAGGCTGCCGACCACAGGCTCGTGAGCATTGGCAAGCTCCACGTTCAAGGAAGAGCCTGAGACTCTGTACCTAAGGTCGCGGCTCTCCCTACCTCACCCCCGCCCCCCACCCCCTTGCTCCTTCCCATTTAAGCTGTTGAGATTCAAGTTATATTTTACAGTACTCACTGCTGGCCTCCCCCCCGCCCCCCGCAAAAGTAAAGCCCACTTTTTGGTAGCGTTGGAGGGTTTTTAAGGTGTTTTTCCTCCCCCGATTTTCTCCCAGGCCTTTTAAGTCTCTGTTTTCTCTCCTCCCCCACCCTGACCCATCACCAGGTGGGGGCTGCACTGAGCAGCTGTTTCCTGTTGCCCCAGAGGTTGCTGCAAGGGTGGCGTGGTGGTTGGGGGAAAACTGAACCTGAATAACGCCGATTCCCACGGTCCCACAGTAGCCTCACTAGGCGGCTGTTGGCGGCTCCCCAGGCTCCGACCACGGAGAACACTGAGTAAGAGGCACGATGGTGCTGGAAAGACCGAGGAGGTCTTTGCCCTCGTGGCTTCCAGACTCCGCCGGCTCTTAAACCCGGGGCAGTGCCGAGGGAAGGAGACTGCCAGGCCTTTCTGCAGCCATAGAGATGGGGCCTCGGGGAGCCGGAACACGGGGAACCTGTTCACGGAGCAGGGCCTCTGCGCTACCCGCAGCCGGGTCGGCCTGGAGTCCCCTCTCCGGCATCTCCCTGTCCTTCTCGGAGTCGTGCCTCTCGCTGCCTCCCCGCCCTGCCTGGTGGAAAGCTCTCTGCCGGTGCCCCGGGAGCGCAGGCGGAGCCCTCCCGGGTCCTCCTGCGAGGACCCACCGCCATTCCCCACGTCACCGCACAAGTTTCTCTCTTCTTCCTGGGATCTGTTCTCTTCCTCCCTCTGGGATCC